TACTTTTTTAACTTTAGAATTGTTTAAATAAATATCTAGCGCATTTTATACGGCTTTGGCTTTATAAATTATTATAGCGTTTTTAATAAAAAGCTGAAAAGTGCAGTTTAATAGAATAAAGCACAAACAAACTAAGTTGTGAAAAGAGCGTCGAAAGAAACTAAAAATTGCATTAAAATATTAAGACAACTGTGAAAGTAAATATTTTTCTATTAAAGCAGCTTTTTGCAGCACTATGAAATACTTAAAATACGTTTACATATGCTAAATTATGCATTGAGGCTAACGCAAGTAATCTGCACGCTTTTCCTGTCATTATTGGTGTTATCGTGTTTATCCAGTTGTCAATCGCAAGTGACGTTCGTTATCGTATACCCTTCGGTTAATCGATAAATCGATAAGCGGAACTTGTTTAGTTAAGGATGAAAAATATACATTTCCAGAAAGGTTGTTAATCAGCGTAGCTTGAGCGCGAAATCTAGGTTTGAAAAATGAATCAAACTCGCTTCGAATCTTTTAAGATTTAATAATAAATTTAAACTTTAAAGCGCCTATACGCTCAACTCGGATTTATATATTTCGTTTATCAAATATATAATAAATTAGAGAGAGTATTAAGTATAAAATGCGTAGGAAAGTCCTAGTAGATTTATACAAAACTAAAGCGTAATATGAGTAACAAATAAATGAAATGAAAAATAAAAATAAAACAACAAAGGTTTATACGCTGTTTAAATTATCGTAATTCCAAAATAAATAAAAAAATTTTTTTTTTAAATAAAATTTCCGGTTCAGACTGTTTTTAAAGTCTAAAGGAATTGGACGAAGGATTGTTTTATTTTTAAATAACAACAGCTTTAAAATCACAGCAGTTTTGAAAAATATAGATTTTTTAAATCTGCACTTCTTTAAATAAAATCTGTCATAAACTAAATTTTTATTAGAATCCTGTCATAAGTTATATTCTCAACACAGACCCACCTTTTTTCCGATGAGTCGTCGGAAATGGCGCCGCAATGTCGCAGTTTTGAATATTTTATACTGAAAATTTCAGAAATTTTTGATATAAGAATTAAGTAAACTAAAGGCCTGGCTGTTTGTATGAATTGAATATTTATTTATTTATTTTATTTTTCATATGATATTTTTTTTTATCTCCGAGCCATGTAGTCCCTTAAACAATTTGTATCAAAAAATTTCAGTTAAAAATCATAAATCAAAATTTTTTAAATACACGTATTTTCCACAATGTTCTTTGAATTCTGGCAATCAAACGGCTCAGATGGAGTTTACCGCCAAGCGCCTTTCTTTGCGATGCCATTCAACTGATAAATAATAAGTAAGGAAGATTAAAGCTAATATTGTCAAATATTAAGTCTACTGCTCGTTCAAAAATAGAAGGTCTATTGCTGGAGCTTTACTCATTAAGTTGGATTTTGTTTGATTAATGCCATACATATTAGATATTAGCTCAAGCGGGGGCTGGAGCGATTGCGTCATACTAGACAAAGGGAAAAAATCTTAATAGACAGAATTCAATGTAATTTAACAATAATTTTTTCTAAACAATATATGTCAAAGAAGGTCGTTTGAAAATTTTAAGCCTATCGGTACAGCCGTTTCAAAGAAATTTTCCTTATCGACTCTGAAAAGAGCCTTTCGAGAAAAACGCATTCAAGTTTACCGAACCATTTGCAAACTACTCCGCCTTGCGCTTCGCCTATTTTCGAACACCACGAGACGTCCTTAATAATACGATCATATCTCCGAGACTTTTTGCCGGTTTAACTTCAGATTTTCGGCAAATATTCTCAAATAATATGTGCATTCAGAAAAATAATAGAATTTCTATTTGCCCATGTCATAGAACATATAGTGAAGTTTAAAAAAATATTGTTTAATTATTATTTTGTTACAAAATGGTGGTGATAAAGTCCATTATTTAATCCATGTTTTTTTGAAAGGCGTCCACAGGAGAACCGATTTCTTCTACAGGATAAGACCTTGAACAGTAAAGCAAAAAATTTTATGATCTACAAACTTTTGTCTTTGAAAGTACGTACGGATTTATATTTTAAATAATTTTTGCAAAAATAAGTTGACATTTAATCGAAAAACCTTTAAGTGCTTCAAAGAAAAAATGTATTTGTGAAGCAACCATCAAAATTTCAGATAAATCTATGCAATAGGGCCCTCCCAGTTTCCATTGTACTCAGCGCACTTTAAAACCAATTGCATATAATTTCTAGAACCCAAGGATACCCTGTGAGCACAAAAATAAAATTTACCCCTAAACAAGCCTAACATACTATTGTTGTAACGAGTAATTTAAAAACTCCCACAGTTTTTCAATTCAATTTTGGAAATTAATAAAACCATTTTTTTTTTCAAATGAGGCAACTTGAAACAAACGTCACACAGAAAACAACCATCAACGTCCAAAACTAAGGTTTAAATAAGTCTCCAGCGGGCGGACTATAGAGATATATATGTAGCATATTTTTCCAAAATTAATTTAAAAAAAAACCGAAAAAGAAAAAAAAAACTTTACTATTGTAGTAAGATATGACAGATCTAACTGTATCTATAGGAATGAACCATTGAATATATGTTTGCATTTATTTATGGACAGTCTTCCAAGATCCATAAAAAGCCGAAATTCCATCAGCTTAAAAAAATAATTTTTTTCGTAGATGAAAACTTGGAAAAAAATTATAATTCTTAAGGAAAAAATTTAAAAATTATATATTTTTTTAAAAGATAAAATTGAAAAAAAAATTTTTTTTTTTAAACGAAAAATAAAAACGATTTTTCTAAAACGAAAAAACTTATTTATTAAGAAAAGAATTAAAAAAAATTATATTTTGTTCAAAAGAGAAAACAGATTTTTTTTTTTTATTTAATTAGTTTTTAAACAAAAAATTTAAAAAATTATATTGTATTTAAAGATATTTTAAAAAAATAAATTTTTTTTTAAACGAAAAAGTATATTTTTTAAAGAAATAATTTAAAAAAATATATTTGGTTTAAAGAAAAAAAATTTCAAAAAATGTATTTTCTTGTAAAGGATGAAATGTCAAAAATGATATTTTGTTTTAAGGAGAAAATTTATAGAAATACATTTTTTATACGAGATAGAAGGTAGGAATTACCACATAGTATACGTACAAACAATCATATGTATGTATATATGTATATAGCAACATTGTAGCTTTGCCTATTAAACACAATCACTTTAACAATTTTCATTTAATTTCAATATAAAGTGCATGTATTTTTTATTGTTTTACTTTTAAAGGCATTAAAATAAGCTCAAATTCTTAGGCAAGAAAAAAACTTTGCACATAGCTTTCACAAAAAAAAAAAAAACTTTCAAAATAGAAAATAAAGGAAAAAACATTAACTATTTAATGCCGTCATCAATTGCATGATTAAATGCTTAGTAATGTGCTCAGTTTTATGAGCGCGCACGGATGCGCGGTAAACAAAAAAAAAAAAAAAACAGGAATAAACCAATATTTTCACCTTAATATTGTTTTCTTTTTCCGCTCTCCTATTCTCTCTCTCTCTTCACTGACGCCACAAAGTAAAGAAATATAGACCAAAATATGCATATAAAATAAAAATTATTTAGCAAATTATCTGATTTCAGTACAAGTTTGAACTATAAAAGTGTCTTTAAAAAAATTCTGCAAACTTTAATACATACGTGTATGTATGTATGTAGATATATACATATTTATTAGCACCCATTTATTTCGCTCAACTCAACTTATTCAATAAACTCGAAAATGATATCATCATCAGCAACACTATGACATAATATGTATGTATGTATGTATGTATGTATGTATGTATGTATGTATGTGTTTGTGTGTTTCTATGTAGGTACATACATACATATATATGTACGTATATGCAAAAAGAAATGCTTACTCATATTACATAGTAGTAGCAGCAGCAGCAGCAAACAGTACAATGGAGCTGAAAAAGCCTTAATACATCTACATAGTACACAACACACACAACCAAACATTCATACATACATACATACAGACAGACATTTATTTTTGTACATAGCAATGCGGCGCACAGATTCTATAAGCAATCAGCTGTGTATGCTTGTAGCAAGTTAATTTGTATAAATGTAGCGCAAAGTGCAAATTTCGCTTACAACGCCCCAACCAAAAATGCTTTAACTTTTGTCAATATTTATTTATTTTTGCTTAATATTGCAAACAACATAACATACATATATGTGCATACATACATACATACATACATAATACATGCTTAACTTAACTACTCTGTACAACAAGCACACATTTGAAATATTTTCAATGTATAAAATTATTTATTTATTTATTTATTTATTTATGTATGTTTTTTTACCAAACAACTTTTAGCATAAAATTATCAATATTTTTATTGTGTCATAGTTTGTATGTATGTAGGTGTATTTAAATGTAGCGTAGTTTTTATTTTGTTTCTCTTATTATTATCGTACATGCATTTTTTTTTTCTATAATATTTTTAATATAATATTTCTTTCCACGATTTAAGCTATTTTAATAAAAAAAATCTACTTTTGCTAGTGCGTTTTATTCTATATTCTTTTTTTAAACTATACTTTTTTCTATATACATATATTTTATCTTCCATCACTTTAATTATTTATTATTTTCCAACATACTTAAGTCTTTTTTCCACACTATTTTTAAAATGACTATCATCATATAATTTTAATTTTTTTATTAGAACTTAAAATTTAAGCACAACATTAAAAATTCATTTACCATCGAAATGAGTTAATGATGATGTATTTATTGATACTTAATGGCATAAAAAAAATAATAATAAAAGAATCATTTATTTTTATTGTACATCAAAAAAAAAAAAAAAAAAAAATCGTATGTCCATATGTACATAAATTAACAAGCAAACATTTGCGTGGAAACAACAAATTCATATTTGTCTAATTTGTGCTTTTTACTTTACAGAAACTGAATTTTTGGTGCCAAACTTTGATAATGCAGAACATCAGCTAAAAGTATTCGAAATCAGATCGCCTTTAGTACTTAGCTGTAACATAACCAAAGAGGGTAGTTATGTACTCAAATGGTGAGTAAACCTTTGCAGTTTATAAAAAGAAATTAATTTTTTAATTTTTTTCAAGTAAATTCTTTAAGAAAGCCAAATCCATTCGCTCGTTTCAAGTGCAAATGTAAAAGACGCATATGCCTTTTTAAGGGACTACTTGAGTTTCACGGTTTCAAAAAATCGAATTTTTTTTATTATCTTGCTAATTTCTACAAAATAACTGTATGCCAATGCTGATAGACTGGATGGACGGTGCTGAGCTTTGTAGGTATCGCACGCATATTGCCTTTCGCACGTCTACCAGCGTTGTTGAACTAAGTCAGCTTCACTTAATTTTTTGACAATCTGTTCTCAACAAGAATCCCAGAAAATACAAATGCTCTGGATGAGTGTGACATAACCATATTCATGGATGGCTTCAAACTCGATGAAAAAGTAGGGTGTGGAATTCATTCACCAATGCTCTCAACCAATTTTAATTTGAGGTTACGACCAGAACTTATTGCAATCACGAAGGTAACAGAATGGTTGCTAGGATCGCTGGTTATAAACCAATCATCACCATATACTCGGTTAGCCAAACTGCGATTAGATATCTTCAATGTAATTACACCGTATTAAAAGTGGAGTTAAAATGCAGAAGTACTTTTAACAAGATGTCTCGTCCAGATGCAACACAGCCGCGGTCTGGCTTGTCCGGATGAGTTAGCGAAAGGAGGTACCATTCTCTAACTACTATTCTGCACAACCCACATTGAAGCTGGCTCTCTACATAACTTTGACCTGTATTGGTGTATAAAAGATCCTTAATCTAATCCTCCTAGTTTATCGTCAGTACAACAACTGGTATATTAATTGGACACTGTTTAGTGAGACTTCACGATAGTAGAATACCTATCATATCACTTCTTTGATTGCCTGTCTGATGGAGCAACGGATGGTAAAGGCAGTATCGCATCGTTCATAAGGCTTTTGAAACGGATCATACATTTGAGAAGGTGAAAAGTACACCTCAGGGGTATCACGTTCTGATCTGCAGCCTCGTCAACTCAACTCAATTCAACTCCTACAACATCTCATGAATTTTCAATTCGATCCACATAAAAGTTTTGAGCTACCACCTTGCCGAGGTGCGCGCTCAGCGCATAAGTTTTAGTCTTAGTTTTTCTCGAAACAGTATTTTGAAAGTATGTCGTCAAAAGTTCTCGAAAACCGAGAACTCACCGAGGGCTCACTGGAAATGACCTCACCTCATGGTCGTTTCGTTTAAAAATTTTGACAATTCTTTTTCAAATGTACATCTTTAAGACAGTAAATAGTTTAAATAAAATATATAGTTATATAATAAAAGTATAGTTATATATTCCTCTTCATCTTCTTCCACCGAAGGGCATTGCATCTAAAACTTTGAAAGGTAGAGCGCTTTACTCCATTCCATGACCTGGTGAGCCGCAGTACCTGCTTCAATAGCCTTTGCCAACGCGCAAGAATCCGTAAATCGTTCGTAAATCTTTCTACTCTCTTCCTGGCGTCGACTCATCGATTTTCGTCATAGTTCACGCTTCCGCAGCATATGTATAATAGGACAGGAAAAATCAGCTATTTGTAGCGTTGGGTCTTTTATTTTTCTATCGCTTACTCAGTTCGAAGTAATACCTGTTGGTTACAGTGATTCTGCGTTGGATTTCAAGGCCGAAATAGTTGGTATTAATTCTGGTTCCAAGATTCAGAGTATTCTCCAATTACCTGTAAACAAAACAGACAAACACCGCGTAATGAAAGATAGATTTGATTCTGAATCCGATCAATTTGGATGTTTGACAAATTAGTTTCGACGGGTTCAGAGTGAAAGAGAAAAGATGTTAGATAAGTCGGTTCCAAGGGACACCCATACTGGATATGATACTGCTGAGTTCCAGTACTAACTATTGCAGCAATACTGGCGCAACTCGTCGAGTTCCAATAACGCTCTCTGTGTATGGCGTTTAAAGCTTGTCGACAACAAGTCGATTTCACCGATTCTGCTTCAGCCACGTAACTAATATTTCCCGGAAAGTATTACATTATATTCGGACATATGATAAACGATTTGTAGTGAAGTTCGTGTACGGTTCTCAAGGCGGCGTTTTGACCGGTTTGAGGTAACTTCCTCATCCCGATTTTGATCGGCGCTCAAATTGGTGCAAAAGCTCTCTTACGGGTATTTTTAAAAGATTATGATGAAAACGACGAGAAATCACTGGAGAAGTTCAAAAAGTTCACGGTTGTGACAAGGAAAAAGACAAAATACGCTATGTGCGTCGCTATTGTAGCAACATTGCACAATGTTTCAAGGACCCCCACCTAAATTTCAACAAACAAACCGAAGATGTTTCTTTACAAAAATTCAAAACTCTTCTTATTCGTCTACATATTCCTACATATATACGAGCATTATAATCGTAGTCATTTGTAAAGTTTTTTTCACAATTATCAAAAAATTTTCACAAAATAAAAACAATAATAAACAAAAATTACATAGAGAGACACATCAAAATATAGATAAATTCAAATCGCTCATTTTTCTTTGAGGCTCCTTGATTTTTCGAAAACAAAAAAAAAGAAGCACTAACGACGGCAACGACGTCTGGAGCCACGTCGGCTACGGCTACGACAGCTACGCTTTCTACTGCGACGTCGCCCGCAACGATCCCCCATCTCACCCGTGTCCTTGGAATCTTCTCTATTCGTTTCTACCTCCTGGTCGTTATCCTTCTCACCGGCAATGGTGTCCAAGTCGACTGGTACCGCATAGTACTTGCGGTTAGATCGTTGTATATAACCGTACCGCACACCGCCATTCAATGTTTCTTGCACCGATTCCTTAACATCACTGGGATGAACCTGTGATGAAGGAGAAAGCAGATTATAATACCAAAAATATGCTAACTTCTGACGTGCCGTCATGCTATGTTAACTACTTACACCCGCCGTATCTGCTATGTGCGTTACTATTTTCATAACGGTTGATGGTTCTTCGAGCGTTTGCAACGCCTGCAATATTAATTGGCCGTTTTGATTTGTCATCCCTTTTTAGCCTTCCTTCACTTCAGTAAATATTTTATTACGATTACTGATACCAAATAAATTATTTGAATGTGTACGTTGAATTTAAATCTTTTGTTGTACAAAGAAAAATCGTTTTGAATACGATGAATTTGTTTTTATAAAGCGAAAAAATGTTTGAAGTGTCTTTGTGAAATTAAATTTGCGGTTAACTTGATAATATTTGAAAAACTAGCAAGCAGGAATGTTTTATAGTTTCAAGTGTTTATCTATAGTTTAATACATTGTTTTTTAGAAATTAATACACATTTTTGTTAAATATTTTTTTATAAAAATGCGCATAATTTACTTTATTCAATTTATTCAAAATAATAAATTTACTTTTGTTTTGATTTATTCTAGGGAGAAGAACGGTACGGATGTTGCGAAAGTCAAATCCCTTGAAGGACGTTATAGAATTATTGCGGCCGAAAGAAAGTTCATAATTGACCGAACAGATATCGGCGATGATGGCGTCTACAGTTGTGTAGTCGATAATAATAAGAGAGATATTAATGTAGTTGGTACGTACAATTATGAATCGAAGTTTGAGAAGTTTTTTTTTTATCATATTATATTCAGTTGCTTTAGAATTTTTAAAGAAAGTCTCAGATAAAAGACCGCAAAAAATTTCAGTAAATCATAAATATACTGCAGAAGACTTCAAAAGCGTTAAAGAAGCGCCTATTTGTGTCGTTTAGGGTACTTTTTTTTACACTAATGTTTTTCGAGAACAAATAAAACCCTTATAATTTCATGTTAGCGGAACAAAAGGTCGTACAAAACGACACCAGCTTTTGACCCTTCGAGGTCGGATATCTTTACGATCCCCCCTTTGGCAATAGCAGCCTTGTATAGTTGGACCGATATCGCGTCATTGCATCTGTGCGATTGCTGAGCAGCACTTCCAGCGCGACGCTTGTCAGCGCAGGTTTCAACCATTTCCGTTGAGCCTCGGGTTATTTAGATTGAATACGGATTCCTTGAATCTTGTGCTTGCTTGGACTTAAGTTTGCGCTAGTACTCGCTTTTGCACTCAGACCAAGCTGGGTTCCTGCCTTCGTACTGGCCCCTATGGACTTCGCAAAGTCCACGAGTGCGGGAAAGAGGAGTCCTCAACGAGGATTCAGCGAGATATTTGTGCAGGCCTCGGCATGTAACAGACTAACCTTACTCTCCGCCACTCGGCTACAGATACTTCCGCCTACTCGCAGCTGTTGTTGCTCTGATATTTTTTTTTCTACCAAGACTTTAAGGTTCTGCTTTATGTTATGTTTAGTTATGTAATAATGAGTGAAAAACGAAACGATTTAGCCATGTCTGTCCGTCTGTACGTTCATCTGTCTGTGTACAGCAAAGGTTAATAAATATTAATGAAACTTGGATTTTGAGTCAAGTTTGCAATTAAAGTCTCGTACTCGTATGTTAGGGGTAGGAGCAGGTAGCTCGGGCAACAAGTTATTTTCTATCCACCGCTTGACTCAGGATCGAATATATTTTTGAAGACATTAGTCAACAGAACTCAAAGTTGGCTACTTTTGATTAAGTCTAAAGTCTCACCAAAAATTGTTGTCGTAAAACATACTTTTTATTTGTGACCTCTCTGTGGACTAAGTATAAATAACAGTTCACTGGTATTATTTTCAAATGGATGTATTAAAAATTTAATATTTAATATAAATCTTCTTATCTCTCATTCCAGCTCGCGTTATTGTACGAGTGCCTTCGAATTCCGGTGTTGTTGAGGGTGAGAAATTGTCAATTGTCTGTACATCTGTCGGTACAGACCCACAATTGTCTTGGATGATTGGTATGTAACCTGTTAATTCCTTTTGTTGTTGTTTTGTATTTGATTACATATACTTATAATTGATTTTTTTTTTGCGCAGGTAATCAAACAATCACAAACAGTACAGGTCGTTATATGTTGAAGCCCGATGATCATAATGTGAAAAACGCCATCTTGTCTGTTGAGAATATAAGTCTTGATGATAGAGGCGAATTTAAATGTATTGGCCGTAATGACGCCAATGAGTATGCCGGCTACGCTGAGGCCAGTGATGTTTCATTTGTTCGTGTTAAGGGTGAGTGTGATAGGTTGGCTGCGTCACCACTACCGGCTATTTATTAACAAAAATCTGAAATTTTTGGCTTATTAATTTCTTATTTAATTTATTTATTCACCTTCTTTTGACTTGCAGGCAAACTCGCCGCCTTGTGGCCTTTCCTTGGTATCTGCGCCGAAGTTCTGATCCTCTGTGCGATCATTCTTATTTACGAAAAGCGACGCAACAAGAGTGAATTGGAAGAAAGCGACACAGATCCACAAGATCAGTAAGTTTTGTACAACACAAAACAACATAAAACAATTTATAAAAAACAGAAACAACAGCAACAACAAAAACTACCAACACAATTACACCAGCCACGATTGAAAAAGAAAAACCAAATCATACCCAAACATTAGAATGAAAATTAGAAAAAAAAAACAGTGCCTAAAAATCACGACCTATACACAATAGAAGAGAAAATAGACAATTGACAAGAATACAGTAAACAAAACAGGCATCGATGACTCTTTGTTTTTGTTCATAATCCAAATTTATGACAACTCCGCACTGTAATACGCAGCATATACTTACTTTATAATATTTAAATATACAATAATAATAATAATCGGACAGTAATACCAACAACAACAAGACAAACAGAATTACAATTAAAATCAGACATGTGAAAAATTTCGTTTGTCACAAGAGCAACCAACAATAACAACACAATGTACTTGGTTAAATTATTGCTTTATTATTATTATTATTTTTTTTTTGTGTTAAACGTTCAGAATAACGGCAATTAATAGTCGTTAAGTGCATAGCAATCGCCAGCGTTTGTTGATCATTAGTTTTTAAGCTTAAAGTCAAATTTGTGTAATGAATAAAATTGTTGTTTTTCTTCGACAAATAAATATATGCGTTAATTGATTGTGACGCCAACAACAATATGTCGTTAGTTAGTACTTTTGTGAGAAGCGAATATGTTTTCGTGTGTAAACTTAAAATACAAGACGTTAAGGAAAACCAAAACACTTAAACAAAAAAAAAAACAAGTTATTTAATATGAAACTTAGCGAAAAGTAAACAAACAAACAAACAAAATTAGTTAACAAATTTAAAACTTATTTACTTAAATGTAAATTAATTATATATTTTTAAAAATTATGTAATTTCCGCAATGCAAAAATTGCATGAGTTTTTTTTTTGTTTTCTTTTCGTTTTCTTTTCGTTTTCATAAACGTACAAAAATAAAAGGGTTAAATAGTAATAACATCATAAGTTGCTTAAAATCTAAGTAAAAACCAACAATACAACCGAAAAAAAATACAAAAAACGGAAAACAATACAAGACAGTAGATAAACACAGAAATTTTCACAAAATACAGAAGAAGTCACTGACACAAAATTAAATACACAAAAATAATTACATACATATAGATTTGCAGTTGTTGAGAGACTTAATACATTGACAACAACTGTCATACTAAATACGATTTATAATTATTGTTTCATCATAATTATTATTATTTTTTATTTGTTAAATAATATTATTAGTAATGAACAAATTGTTAGCGTACATACCTACATACAAAACCGTTAAATTATAAATAAAGAAATTATGCAAAATCGTATTATTATAGAATGTATTTCCTCCTCTCTGCCGATTCGTTTAATATCTTTATTTGGTGTAACCACTTTACCAGAAAATTTATTTACACATATTTTTTCTTTTGTTTAAATTACAACTATCGTAGTCTAGTTTTGCTCTATATACATTGTATTGTAACTTGTTTTTTTTTTATTATTTTCTTTGTAATGTTTACAAGTGTAAGCTTATATACGTACATTTGTATGATTTAAATATGATTTCTTTTTTTAAATTTGTACTTGTAATGCAATAGAAAATGTTGTAGAAAAGGAAGCTGATGCGAAATAAAGTAATGAAAGCGTGTTAAATTTGTTTTAAGTACTTATTTGCTTATATATATATATATTTTGTTTTTTTAATACATCTCAACCTTTTATAGCCTTATTTTTCTCTTTTTTTTTGGAACGTAGATATCAGCTACACGAATATAATTCATTTTCTTATGAAAAAAGTGTTGCTACTCCAAATTTGTGTGGTGCATAAGGCATATGCAACAAACGCCTGAATAAAATAGTATGAAAAAATAGTATAAAACTGATTGCAATTGTGCCATTTAAAGAAAGAAAAAATTACATCAACCTCCAAAGACAATCAATTTACAGGCACACCTTGTACAAATCAAAGTTGAAACACTCAAAACGGGTTTTGTTAATAAACATTATTCAAAAATATACAACTTTATTGCTTCGTGCAATGTGTAGGCGTAAGATTTGCGCATTGTTGTCCGCCTGTTGCATATGCTTTTCTCAAACACAATGATGAAATAAGCAAAAAAAAAAACAACGTTTGACCGTCTTTTGTTTTTGTTTTTTTTTTTTTGACTTTTGGGTTGCACATATACATTATGTACATATTTTAAGTTTTTATATTTTAAATTCTTAAATACAAAAATAAATAAATAAACAAAAAAAAAATATAAACCAAAAATAAAAATGAAATAAAAAATATCAATAAACATTCTAAAAACAGTAATTTGCGGCAGTATACTCAATTTCAATTATGTTTAATATTTCATACAACAAATACTTATTATTATTATTATTATTAAAATTACCTATTATTTTAACTTATGAGTTAACAACATCTGTTTCAGTCAAAGCGTCATAAGCCAAGCGAAGAGTGAAACTCTTCAATTAACTGAAACATATGAAAATAAAGAAATTGATGAACCGGTTAAAATAATCAGATTACATTCTGATTGGTACTATAGGAATAATGATGAAATTGATGATGATAATAATACAAGTGAAAATGTTGCGGCAAATAATCATAAACAAAGTGAAGGAAATAATGATGCTGATGATAAAGCAACTAAAGAAGATTGAAAATAAAACAGAATTGCATAGCAAAAATAGATATCAAGTAGTGGCCGCTAGCCATCAACTGCATAAAAACAATTGGAACAAAAATAAAGAAAGCATCACATTTGCAATGCTATTCACTACCACATTTGTTTATGATTTGCATATACATATAGTCTACAAGTATAATATATGTATAGTATGTACATACGTTTTTAATAAAATAGTAATAATAATAATTTCGGCGCTTTAATGTACTCTACGTGATTTATTTTTGGCAGAATTCTTAATTTCTTACAATTATTATTATTCTTATGCTCATTATTATTTTTTTTCGCCTTTGTATAACTCTACATACATTTTATAATATGTTACTACGGGCCTGTTATGTTAAACTTAATTTATTATTCAAACGAGCAATTATACCATATATTTTTTTTCTCTTCAATTTTGAAAAAGTTAAAATAGTATGAAAATGTCAATTTCATAAGATTAAAAAAAAAATAATAAAATTAAAGAAAAAAAATCACATAATTTGCGTTTTTATTTCTTTATTATTTTCAGTTGTATTAGACGTATGGGTTTGTATGCATCTAATATTATTATGTTGTTTTTTTCTTATTTGCTTAGAGCGCTAAACAAATCATTTTGCGCTTTTATAGATGTAATTTTTTTGAATTTTTTATTTTACTCCTAAATGTTAATTTGTTTGACTCTTTTACTCTTTTTTTAATTTTTTTTTAAATTTACTGCTGTTTTTACTCTTAAATGTGTCTGTTTTTATTTTATTCCTGAATTATTACTTATTTTTTTATTCTGAAGCGTTTTTTTATTTTAATTTATTCTTAAACTTTTATTTTTCGTTTTGATTATATGTTTTCATTTTACTCTTAAATGTTATATTTTTTGATTTTACTTTTAATTTTATTTTAATAATTGTACTATTAAATTTATCTGTTTTTATTTTATACTTAAATTATAATTTTTTTATTTTAATCTTAAATTAATTTTTTTTTCATTTTATTCTTAAAAGTAATATTTTTTACATTTGTTTAATTAATGTATCGGTTTTTTACTCTTAAGCGTTTTTTTTATTTAATTTACTCTTAAATGTTTCTTTGTTTCATTTACTCTTTTGATTTGATTTGATGATTTTTTTTTTTAATTTACTCTTAAATGTTTATTTTCGTTTTGAGTAAATTTATTTTCATTTTACTTTTAATTGTAATTTTTTGTTAAATGTTATTTGTAAACACAGCTTAAGTCCTAATTTTCCTTTTTTGTATCTTTTCTCTAGGCTTAAAGTTCTAGTTTCGGTTCAAAAACTTTATTTTTAGCAAAGCAAACTTCATTGTACGGAACAACAGGGACCCTTATGACTCTCTGTATTTCAAACTTTGATTTTAGTTTAAAATATTGCTATTTACATTTTTAAAAGAGTTTAAGTTCAAGCAATAATTTTAGTTTTAAATAAAAATTTTATTTTCAACTTATTTTTGCCAACACATACATTTATTTCTAATCTCGACATGTTTTTACATTTTGTTTGAAGTTATTTTTGTTTTTAATTTTTTTTCTATTGAACATTTTAATTGTGTGTCAGTATTACTACAAATAATAATTTTTCGAACTAATACAACTTTTTTTATATTGTTAAACTGTCAGCAGCAAATTTCACAAAGTCTTTGAAAAATATTACTTTCCCTTAGCAGTTAGTTCAGGCTTTAAGGCCAGGTTCCTCCAAAAAAAGGGTTTATTTTTTTCAAAAAATTTGTATTGACTTACGAGTAAATAAAAATATTTATATTGTAAAACAAAGTTTTTGTAGATAAGTAGACATATAAAAATCTCGATTGAATATTTTTTGAATTGCGGCTCTTAAAGTTGCTGCTGAAACACGTTCACGATAACTGTGAAACGAATCATCTGAAAGCAAAAAATCTTATTCTGTATCACATTGGCTATGGTCGGAACTACAGTGAAACAACATTTTTCGCCAAAAAAACAAAAAAAAAAAAATGGTTTTAACCTTTTTTCAATTTTTAATTGTTTATAAATTTTTTAAATAACAATGAATATATTTGGTTGTAGTACCGACTGTAGCAAAACATTTTTTTTTTACGACGAACCCAGTGTTTCCCAGCACCCGCCCAACCGACTGAGGGGCGCATATGAGGGAAATCGAAAAATCCAACAGACCGGTGACCGAAAACCAGTAACAGTCCGGACTGCACTGAACCCGAAACCGATCGCGGAAGGTCGCGGTTACACTTGCCTCTTACACTAAACAGCTACAGATTTGTTCATCAACTGCTACATATTACATAGGGAAAAGAAAAGGGAATTTTTTAATTATTTAAAGCTCTCAGTAAGTAGATTTTGATACAGAAAAGCGAGTCAGAGGAATCAATGTTGGGGAAATGTGTATTAAAATCGTTACACAAAGAAAAGTTAATTAAAGTATTTGTTCGGACGAATTTATACTTACTTCTTGGTCTCGCGGACCTTCGGGACTAATTCTATATTATTTGTAAAAGTGTTTTCTAGAAATTATATTTCGATTTAAAGCTTTTTCAGAGGAACCTTGCTTTAGGTCGTTTGTGTAGGATCACCGCTCTTTGAATATAATTTTTTTTGTTCTATATTCTCGGCGTTCGCAATAGCTAAGGTTTAGTGTGTTTATTTCCCTTCGGACGACCAGGGTTCGAGTTCTGGTGTTACCAATTACGGTTGCTCTTAGGCAGGGAATGCAAAGAGGCAGATTCATTAAAATTTATACGAACACGAGTTTTCGCAATGTTCATCTTTCGGTCCGTTTGGGCATAAATGAGTCCCATCAGTTTTTGGGATATTTCAATCAAACATGGTGCGCAAACGATCATTTTTCGAAAACAGCTAGATCGGACTACTATAGCATTTTTACGACTGATATTTCAGATTTTTGATTTTCGATCATAAATCTGTTAAATTTGATATTCTACACATATATGTGTATTGAATTACACAACGGTACTGAAAATTATCGAAATTGGGCGACTATAATTTGAAGTTTCCAACACATCGCTTTTTCGGCTATGAGGTCAAAAGTTCGCCAAAAATACATTAATGCAGCATGAACTTTGAATAGACTACACGCTCACATATATACAAACAGACTTCGATACCATTAATCATCGGATTCAATGGACTCCAAACAATTTTTCGGATAAGAAATTAATGTTTGATCCTAAAACGGAATACGGAAACGGATAACTCTTTAATTATCTCATATTTTTTTTATATGTTTTTATAAGTAAAACATTTGAAATTTTTTTTACATATATTTATGCAAAAAAAAAACTTCAAAATTTCTAATATTTTTTTTTACTTTGGTGCCAAGATATTTTTAATTTAAATATTTATTTTTTTACTTAAAAGCACTTTATTATATTTTTAATATTTCAAAATTTTTTTACATAGATTTTTATGATTTAAAAAAAAATAAAAATTATTTTTATCAGATTTTTTTTTTTAATCATTTCTAGTGCAAAACGCTGTCAAACACATTTTTATTTTAAAATGGATTTTTTTGTAAAAATATCAAATTTTTGTTTACTAAAACTTAAGATTTTAAAAAATATCCTTTTTGCATTTATGTTTCTGCTTAAAACTCAGTTTTACAAACCTTTTTTTAAGTTTTCAAATTGTTTTTTACAAAAATTTAAAATTTTTGAAATTAACTTTTTCTTACAAAAAATTCAATTTGCTTCTAAAATTTCTAGTTATTTTCTTACTAAAATGTAAGATTTAAAAAAATTAATTTATTATACACTTTTTTAATTTATGTCCCTTTTGTTTTGAATTTCAAATAATTTCTTTTTTTAGAAAAATTTAAGATGAAAAAAATCTTGCTTTTTCATACTTAAAAACCAACAACACACAATTTTTTTTTACAATTATTTCAGATTGTTTAAAACAATAATATTTACTCAATATTTCACTTCAATACAAATTTTTCACCAACACTTCACCAACGCATGTAAATACCAATTTTTTAGCTATAAGATTAATCGTTTTTTATTTAAAAAATCATTCGTAGTATAACGTTATGTAATGAAATTGATTGTGTGCATTTATTAGAAGAAAGTATTAATCGTAACCTTTTTTTCTATTTATCCCCACAACAATTTTTTTTCAACTCCTTGCTGGCAAATAAATTTTTTGTTTATTAAAATAACAAAAAAAAAAATATATAAAAACAACTACCAACTAACCCATCGTCCATTACGTCCTACGCCCAAAACAACAAATCTGCTGACAACTGTGGCAATTTGAACCCGACGTGGATTGTGTGTAGTTGATAAACGTGATGCAAGCGTCGTGTAAAAATCAAAAACAATTTTAAACAAAATTAAACAAATTAATTGAACGAAAGCATATAAAACAAAAGAAATATAAAAAGATTCAAGCAAAAACTTCTAGCGATAATCATCACCGACA